GATACTTGATAACGAGATAGAAGAAGAAGTTCCAAGTTCGTTTAGAAGATCTTTTAAATTTTGACTTATCTATGGCGGTATCGCTCCCTTAATCTGATATCCTTTTTACATCATGAGTTTTTCTGTCTTATCATAGAACAGAAAATTCATTTTAAAAATTACAACCAATCTATCCCATTCCTAAAACATGTAATTCATTTAATTAAAAAATTACGGAGTTCTTTGATATGCTTTCTGGCTAAGTGAAATTCAACTAAATTATTAGCTTTCTTTAACTTATTTCTTGTACTTCAAAACTTAAATTTATTTCCTTATCATCTTGATTCAAATTTATTTGGATTGCTTGCTTGATTTTCAGTTTGAACTCTAAAATATCATCTTTTATATTTTAGCCAAATAGAATTTGCACCTATCCTGTATTAGAAATCTACTTTATCCTCGCTTCTACATCTCCTATTATTTGAAATGACTAGGATTTTTTGAAATCTTCTTTTAAATTAGTATCTTTCAACAAAGATTCAAAGTAGGAAGTTACATCTGGCTTGACCAAGATTTGAAAAAGGTATTTTTTTTGTTTGATTTATCTGTTATTATCTTTTAAAATGATGTTAACTTGATGCATACCCACCACTGATGAGATTGGATTAATGATAAGCTTTTTATTAGTTGCTGATACAAATAGGCCAGCTTTCTTTCCTTTAATCGAGACGGTATAGTCATCTCCTTCATCATCTCTTATAATAGGAAGATCTATTATTCTTAAGACTCCTACATTAACTTCAATATCTAATACTGATGATAAGAAGTATGGTGCACTATTGATTATGGAAAATTAGCCAACTTTGTTGTGTACTTAAAATTTAAAGGAATATGTTTAAAAAGGCTTAGATATGAAATTTTCTATCTCAGAACCTACAGTTATGTTGAATAGAAATTCATACTCATCTATTTTATTAGCAGAATCTGCTAAAATACCCACTTAAAAGTCATCTAATCTATCCCAAAATAAAATGTGGGTAAAGTCTTTTTATCTAATATTTTGTACTAAAGTTAGAGTTTATTTGAAGCAACTTTGATCAGGTCCTAATAATAATCTGGGTATCGGATAGTAGATTTTATCAATAGAGATTAAGTGCCGAATTGAGATGTTTTTAATGTCTTGTATCAGCTAAAACTATGGCTCACAAATATTTGTTATATTCAGAAGGAATGAGTCTTAAAAAAGCATCCATTTATTTGCTGCTGTATCTGTAATATAATAGGTAACTTATGTTAAGTGAATCCCAATTTAACTAAGCTTAAGAAATTTGCACGAGAAATTTGCATTAATTGTGCTGTATTCAGAGATATTCTAAATGAAATAAACTCCTTTGGTATTGATTTCTATGATATATTTCTAATTATCTGGCATTTCATCACTACATTGATTTTCAAGACTAAATTTTGAAATATATATTTCACACTATATACCTAAATAGCAATCAACATTTTAGGTTAAGTTATTGGGTGGTCTATCCTAATATACTTGAAGCTAAGAGACTTTAATCTAACTGCTAGCTTTATTATTCTAATTTTTCCATAATCCCACATAAGGTAAGAGATTTTCAAATACTTTTATAAGTGGTTTTTCTAATATATCTGTGATATCAGGTTGATCACCATAATCAGTGTTTGAAGCTTCATTATATTCAGTAGAATAAGTATAAATATCATCATTAATTGGCTTATAATCTTCTATAATGCTGTAATATGTATCTGTAGTTGATAACTAGGATAAAAATGCCCTTTATTATCCTGAAGATTCAATCAATTAGCCAAGATAGAAGAAATCATTTTTTGTTGAAACATATTTAAACTGATAAACTCTAATTGTATTAGTATTTATTCTACGCAACCACTATTCAGACACAGTATAAACAGTAGTTGGGATAAAGGGATCTTCCTTAAAACTAACAATAAAATACGAAGGAATTGAATTAAATGTTGCTGAATAGACTAAGGTTATCTCATTTAGTTGGAGAAATTTTATTCCTAAACATTCAAATTTTCTTTGATCGTACGAAAATGCATTTCTAAATAGTATATTAGCTTAAGGGTTTCCTATTTTATGTAAAAACATTCCTATAAGAGCAGAATCAGCATTTAAACTTTCTATGCACCCAACTACGTAAAGAAGATTTTCTTCCATCTAACTAATAATAGCATTGTAGTATGCTAAAGAATTTGCACTATAAACAGCTATTTAAAAGCCAAAGCTTTCATCAAACCAAGTTACAAAAATATTAAAATCATTTGCTGAAGGCTACTAGATTCCCATCATGATAACATTTCCGTTGCTTTAATATACCTTGATAATAAGAGGAATCATTCCTTTAGTAAGAAGATAGAATTGCCTAATTATTTAAGATAAATCACTTGTTATCTACAAAATTATCCCTTATTCTTCTGAAGTAGATCTTAATACAAATATTATTCCATCTTTTTATCAAACTGTCAAGATATTGGGAGAAGGCTTAGAAATCATACCACAATCTTTAATCATCACATTTTGTTCAATTTAGCCTTAAATACTTTGCCTTATAAGGTGATAATTTCTCATAGACAAATTTTCATCATAGCTTTTTTCTTTTGATCTTATGAGTGTTATAATATGTGTCTTTTTTTAAAATTCTATAGAATCTACCCATTCTAGTTTATAAGGTAGCATTGATTAATTAGGAGCATAGTTATACGAATTAAGCCAGACAAATCTATTATAATATTCCCTGTTATTATAAAATCCTATAGTAATGTCATCTCCGTATGTCCCTCCAACAGCGAAGTAGTCTTAACTCTCATCATACTAGAGCACCGTGAATTTAGATTGAATAGAATTATCATTATTATTATTCAGTTCTATCGGTAGCTGCTTCACTCCAAAACATTGAGGTTAAGTTTAAGCTCTATACATTTATATTTATTTATGTAAAGAAATTTTCCAATTATTTAAGAATCACTTACAATCCAAAAAAATTGAAAGTAAGTACTAACATTAGGTAGAGCCTTTACTTATTTAATAGTCTCAAATTATTTAATATTGCATTCATTAATTTATTTATATAATTATAAACTAGAATAATTTTAATAGAGAAATAAGGAATTTTTTATATAAGTCTTTTATTTAAAAAAATTAATTCTGATAATTTTTGGATCTCGGGGTTTTGGGGTTTTGGGG